CCGTCGTTTGTGCGCTCCATCTGCTCACCGCTCTGTGGACTCCCACGGGAGTTCTAGACCCAGAGCCGGACTTCTCTGTCCCTTCCCCCCTCCCCCAAAACATGCACAGCGAGACGGTAGTTCTCTGAGTCCAGGCCATGTTCTCGTTAGGCCCAGGAGCATCTGGGGTTCCTGTAAACGCTGACCTCAGGCCCCCTCTCGTTGTGCGTGTTACCGAATGTCCTTCCTTTCCAGGCCAACTGAAGGGGAGAGGACCGAGCGCCTCATCAAAGCCAAGCTCCGGAGCATCATGATGAGCCAGGATCTGGAAAACGTGACCTCAAAAGAAGTAAGAGAGCTCTTCCCTTTGCAGGCCAGAGTTCACGCAGTGTTCGTTTGTCCTGTTGCCCGAACCACAGCGGAGGCGGGTCCGGCACCTGCTCACTGGCTCTCAGAGGCTTTTCCCACGGAGCTTAGCGGAAAGAGCGCAGGCCTTCAAGTCCCATTCTAGTTCGAGTCCAGCCACGCTGCGTACCAATTTCCTGGCCTCTCTGAACCTATAAGACCTTTGATGGTAATTCCATGAGACCCATAGGTTGCACTGAGAAAACATTTCCCTCTTAAGGCCTTCTCCTCTGCCTTGTGTTTTATTGAGATACAGCAGACTCTTGTTTCTTATCTCAGGATTACCAGTTACCAGCGACTTACAAACCCTGGACTGCCTCCCATCTGCCTTTGAATGTTTTCTTGGATCACTTTTTTCTTCTTCTCGGGTTGCTTTTTGTTCAAGGAATGCGATGAATTATAATAGTAGGTTAGGGGCACCTGGGTGGCTCAGTCAGTTAAGCGTCTGGCTTCAGCTCAGGTCATGATCTCCCAGTTCATGAGTTCGAGCCCCACATCGGGCTCTGCGCTGACAGTGCAGAGCCTGCTTCGGATCTTCTGTTCCTCTCTTTGCCCCTCCCTCGCTCTCTCCCTCAAAAATAAACATTAAAAAAATAATAATAGGGGCGCCTGGGTGGCTCAGTCGGTTAAGCGTCCGACTTCAGCTCAGGTCACGATCTCACGATCTCGCGGTCTGTGAGTTCGAGCCCCGCGTCGGGCTCTGGGCTGATGGCTCAGAGCCTGGAGCCTGCTTCCGATTCTGTGTCTCCCTCTCTCTCTGCTCCTCCCCCGTTCATGCTCTGTCTCTCTCTCTGTCTCAAAAATAAATAAATGTTAAAAAAAAATTAAAAAAATAATAATAATAATAGCTTAAACCAGGCAGATGGAAAGGGTTGAAGTGGCCATTTTAAAAAGGCACGCATCATCGTTTTATTAGTTAAGACACATAAAAAGTCACATTGTGATGCCTTCCGGAGCAAGATGAAACTGACTTTATGGGTTGACTGTGATATAGTTGATACTTAATTGTAAAAATGTGCCTTAAACTCAAAGAGAAGAGATCCCAGGGGAATCTGCTTCTTCGTATAAAATAATCAACTCTTCCCAGTCAGACTGACTTTGAGGCTGAGTAGCCTGCGTTCCCACCACCTGCCCGTGTGTGTGTGTGTGTGTGTGTGTGTGTGTGTGTGTGTGTGTCTGCGTGTGTGTGTGCGCTTACTCTGGGATCAAAACAGAACAACTCGCCAACAACCAAAGATCATTTCTGAAAACAAGCACAGTGTAAGTTGTGACTTTGCTGCTTTGGAGGTGGACAGCTGTGGTTTTGTTTTATTTTGTTTTATAACAACACACTTTCCTACTCTTTTCCACTCCACAGATCCGTAATGAATTAGAGACGCAGATGAACTGTAACTTGAAAGAATTCAAGGAATTCATAGACAACGAGATGCTCCTTATCTTGGGACAGATGGACAAACCCTCCCTCATCTTCGACCATCTTTATCTCGTAAGAGGCACAGCACCCGGCAGGGTCTGGTTGGGGGGACATAAATCAACGGGACCTTGATTGTTTGGAGTTTGCAGCACGGTCAGAGAAGGGGAGCAAACTTGAGTTACTGGCACCTCGGTCCTGACTCTTCTGGAAACTCCTGTCTCAGACCCCGTCACTCTGGCCTCCACGAGCTCGCACTCGAGCCAGATGCCCGAGGGGTGGTTCCCAGCTGAGCCATGGGGAGTTGTTTGAAGGCTCTCTGGCATAGTCCACTGACAGCAGTTTTCAGACTCCCTCCATCCTTGGTCTTCGGTCACTAACACAGAGGCCCCACCCAGTTCCCTCCAAACGGTGTGCGGGCTCAGAACCCCCAGTTACTAGAGGGAGCACGCTTGCCAAACCCCAGGATTATGCCTCGGCATCCCGAGACGTGAGAAACAGGAGGGAAAACAGACCAAACACCCAAAACCCAGCTTCCCCTCTCTGTCCGGAAGCCTGCTCCGTGCACCACTCCCAGGCCCACCGAAGGAATTGGCGCGGGCGGGGTGGAATCTCCCTACCTCCGTCTCTTGCTCAGATTTTCTTAATGCCGTAAATCTCCATAGAAGGCAACTGGCGAGTTCCCAGAGCCTCTCAGAGAGACTATAGAGGAAGGCATGTTGCTAAAATTAGAGAAGCAATGCAGTGTGATGAAAATCAGACCCACCAGGGCCAAGTTCCCACTCCCCAGCCTGAGTGGCTGTGTGACCGGGACCGAGTCTCTCTGGCTTCTCTCCTTCATTCTGTACCATGTGGGATCATTATGAGGATGAAGTAAAAGACGCATATAAAGCACCGAGTGCGGTTTCTGTAGGCACTAAGAAATGGCACCCGTTGTCAGAGCAGAAGTCACTTCCTGGGAAAGTGGAGGTAGTTCATTGACTGCTGAAGGCATGACCGATTTTGCTTTCTGCCCACAAGTTCTTAATAGTTCCCCAGACGCATGTGTCGTGATATGTACTTAATATGTTACATACGGATGTGTTTAGTGAATTCGTTTGTATCTGTCGCTACATATGTATACGTTTAACGTTCGTATTAAAACGTATGTGAATGTGTGGATTTGAAGCCTGTATCTTGAAAGCTGTCAGGCAGCGCTGGGCTCTAATCTTCTCCCTGGGAAGCTGGTAGTTCTTCCTGGTGGAAAACAACAGAAGGCAGGCTGTCCCTCCACTAGGTGGTGATCACAACAAGAGGGTGCTCACACGTTTAGTGGAGCTCTCTTTATTTTTTCGGTGCGGTTTGATGCTTTATGTCACTTTTTCCATGAGAGATACTAAAGGAATTTTCATATTTGAGCCTCTCCCTGCAGCACAGAAATCCAGCTAGCACCCACATGATGCCAGCTTCACTGGTCCCCCTGCAGCCCCTGCGTCCTGAGAGGCCTGCCTTCCTGGGAAAAGAAGCTTCTAGGGAGACTTGGGAGGGGGGAGTGTCTTTTGCTATCTTGACTCCACGTTGTTTGCATTTCCTAAGAACGAAGTGATAGTTTTTTCTTTTGCTTTTCTTCCCCTTCTATGTTCCTCATACTCTCCGAAACGGAGGGTTCGTGTTTTAGTCTGCTCTACAAGGTATTAAATCAAAACATGTTATGGAAGGTAAGGAAATAAGAGAAACTCTAAAGAAGAAAATGAAAAGCATTCCCAATTTTACAAACCTGGATGTAGTCACTATGAACGTTCCGGTATATTTATTTTCCCATTTGTGTTTTTTTTTTTTTTCTTTTCATGTCTATATAACTTCTTAAAAGAGAGAAAAGGAAAGAATCATACTATTTATATAGTTCCGTATCCTGTTTCTTGTTTTAAATTGTTGTCGTTCTGTGGCGTTTCCCTGTGTCACTGACTAACCACCATAAACTCTGATTTTTTTCAAGTGCCCTATCATATGGGCTCATCATCGTTTATTTTACTGATTTCTTCTTGTCAGACCTCTGAGTTGTTTTCCAGTGTTTGTCATTATAAATAACCATAACTATCCTTGTACGTAAATCTCTGTGCAAATTCTGGGTGTTTCTGCAGGATAGTTTTTTATATGTGGAACTATGGGACCTTTTAAAAATACTTCCCAGGAAAGGTAGACCTACTCCTGCTTTCTTTTTTTTTTTTTTTTTTTGTCGTTATTATTTTTTTAACGTTTCTTTATTTTTGAGAGAGAGCAAGAACGAGAACGAGCAGGGGAAGGGCAGAGAGAGAGGGAGACACAGAATCCGAAGCGGGCTCTGCGTTGGCAGCCCAGAGCCCGATGTGGGGCTCGAACTCACGAGCCGTGAGATCATGACCTGAGCTGAAGTCGGGCGCTTAACCAGCTGAGCCACCCAGGCGCCCCAAACGACTCTTGCTTTCAATTAGCAGTGTGGGCAAGTGCCCTCTCCTGAGTGGGAGGTCGGAGGTCACTGCCTCTGGTGACAGGACCCTGCTGGGGACTTAGGAAAGGAAGTGGCAAGAGGGGGTGCAGGTGTTTCTGAACTTGCTCTTTCCCGAAGGCCAGAGGGCGTCACGCTCAGGCTGATGACGCTGTGACTGCCTCGGGAAGCTGCTTCAATACAGGCCTGTTTCGGTTCTATCCGTTGTCAAAGGCCAAGGGCCCGCGCAAGGACCATCCCCGTCAGGGCTAGCCCACACCGTGCATCCCATAAGCAGCTCTGAGGCTGACATGTGACACTCACGGGGGTTTGTGTGATCTGTCCCCCAGGGCTCTGAATGGAATGCGTCCAATCTGGAGGAGCTGCAGGGCTCAGGGTGAGTCTGCTCCCCTCGTCTTCCCTTGTCCTTCCAGGCAGCCTAGAAACCCTCAAGGTCGAGCCCTTGTAACTGCAGGCACCCGTCTCCGAGCCACCTGCCATGGCTGGGCAGCTTTGCACGGCTAAATGGATGTGCTTCTGAATGCCACCTCCTGAATAATTCACGGGTTTTAGACTTTAACGGGGTTCCGTGTGATTGTGTGTGTCAGCAAGAGCGGTTCGCAGTCACACTCCAGTGGCATAGGAGGGCGTGGGTGCTGACAAGGCCACGAGCCCCCTCACGTGCACCACTGCCCGCACGCCTGCTGGCGGTCCTGGTGGGGACCGCGCAGCAACCCTGATCCCAGGACCACTCCTGCTTCTACCGGACGTTCCACTCTGGGTCCTGGTGGGAATCTTGTGGCTAAAATGCTCAGTGTTGGCCAGAAACATACGCCTGTCTCAGTCTGAGAAATGCCCAACAGTAGGAATTAAAAAAAAAAAAAAATGTTTAAATCTAGATCTTCAAGAACAGATGTCTGGACATTTTTTTTTAAACAACACAGCCACAAAATCACCATTCTGTGGGTCTGACATGATGGCATTCTTGAATTACTGCATTTAAAAATCAAGACTAAACAAATCTTAAAATATATCTTTAGAACTACTGGTTAAGATGTGTTCTTGCGACAAAAAAATATTCTTCAAATGTACAGCAATACTATCTATGCCTTCTCTTGCTGGGAACACGTAAATTATTTTTAAAGGTATTTTCTTACAGCATTTATAAGTATTCTCTTACAAAACCTATTGGAGGTATTTTCTAACTCCTGAAATTATTTTGGTCTTCCGGGAATAGAAGTATCACATTTAAAGAACTACAGAACCAGCATTTGAGGACCTTCTCAACAATTTATTTGTTTCTAGTCTGCCTTGTTTCAAGAAGGATTTAAAGCAGTTCTTAGGTACATGAATAATGGATGGATAGAGTCTATTTTTTTTTTTAGCTCTTTAAAAGTGGAGACTTTGTTTTTTTTTTAAAGCCTCAGTATATTCATAACAGTTAATGAATTTTGAAACTTCAAGAGCGTTTGAAAATGTATTTAAGTAATACACATGTCTGCTTTCCAGAATTCATATTGCTTAGCAATGCTTTGAACTTTCTTTTTCCTGAGTTTTTTTATAAAGGAATATGTTTTTTTTATTTTAACTATAATATGTTCTCATCACACAGAGGGCATTTAGAAAGCACACCAATGTGTGTTAATGACTATTAAGGAGAAACAAAAACCCCACCGTAGACACATATCCTTTATGCGCATGTATTTAATTTGTTCTTTGCTCAGTATTTCTGTTACTTTGTTCTTTGTAGTTCCTCATTCTGATTCTCCAAATTTGTCCTTTATTTTTTTCTCATTACAGTGTTGACTACATTTTAAATGTCACTAGAGAAATAGATAATTTTTTCCCTGGCTTATTTGCATATCATAACATCCGAGTCTACGACGAGGAAACAACAGACCTTCTTGCCCACTGGAACGAGGCGTACCATTTTATAAACAAAGCAAAGTAAGTGGGTGGAGAAGCGAAAGAAGCTGGTCTGAGGCGGAAACTGGCAGACGCTGGGTGGGCACAAATTAATGGCCATCCCAGACACCGCCGTCTCCCGGTTTGTGGAGCCTTTGATGTCTGGTGGACCTCTGGTCTTAAACCACAGGACCCGTAGCACCAAAGGGACACGGTCACTGATCTCAAGGTGGGGGCCCCAGTGAGCCTTCGTTTCCCCCATCCTTGACTGTGACACGGGACCCCACTTTTGTCGTTGGTGTCAAAAGTGGTATCAGGAAAGGATCTGACACCAAGTGGACATTCTTGGGAGCTCTGCCTTTGGGGAGTCGCTCAGCCAAAGGAGGAGGGGGGTGGGCCAGGTCATATGTGGACTCTGGGCACTTTTGGGGCCGCGTCTGCCAAGAAAGCCGCTCAGGCAGGTGCCCCAAGGTATGGCCCAGCTTGTGCACCTGTGTTCATGCAACTTTCCTATTCATTCATGGAAAGGAGCAGACCATCAGAGGTCCCGTTGCCCCATGCCTGTCACTGGTGTCCCCCATCTTTAGTCCTCCCCTTATTCTCCTATGGAACTACTCTGCCTCACTGAGAGAAAACCCTCTGTGATGCTATCGAGAGAAACCCCATCTTCTGCTTTGCACCCCATCAGGGGCAAAGCTATGCAACACGTCCTTACCAAATCTCAGTTTGTTTGCATTTTTTGGTGGGGGTTAGATTTCAGACCAGCAGTGAAACAAAAAAAACAACAACAACAACAACAACAACAACAAAACAAAATGCACATAACGGGGATGAATTTGAAGCCCGGGGTCTAGGAAGTGAGCGTGGACCCACCTGACCGGCCAGCTGCTTCCAGTGTAAACAGGCAGGCCGGTGGGTCTACGTGCTGTACAAATAAAGCTTCCAGGTGCCACCCTGCCAGCCCCTTCCATTCTCGAGGAGGTGAGGTGTCGAGAAACCCCATCCTCGGCTTTGCCGTATCCGTGAAATCAGCCCCGACCGGGCCAGTACGGCCTCCCTGCAAACCACCAGTCCGCCTGGGTTCTTCCCCCCGTCTGAGTCCAGGGTGCTGCTGCCCTCGCTCTGGCTCCTGGACCCTCCCGTCTGATGCACGTCTTGCTCTCCTGAGGGCCTTGCAGCCTTCGGTTCGCTGACCCCGTTTGTCTGCAGTCACCCGCTCCCTGTCTCCATCTGCTGTCACAGCTGTGTGGCTTTTGCAGATGTCCCTTCAGCTGCCCCTTGGCTTCCTGCAAAAGAGCCTCTGATCTCCTGGCCCATCCCAGCGGTCCGACTTCGTCCCCGAAGGCGGCCGGGTTTGGGAGCTCTCCCTGCACAGCTTGGCAAGACAGGGACAGATTTATCTCGATTTCCCATTGTGTGCTAATTGATTTCGCAGCGAAGCTATTTCCTTTAGAGGGTGTGTGGCCATCTGCTGCACAAATATCAGGACATAAGGGGGGGGTCTGGGCACGGAGATAACTTCAGGGTTTATAAAACTCCACTGGGTAACACCTGAGAGAAGGAAATTGTTGACATTTCTGGACTCTCTCCTCCACCCACCCCCACCCCCCCGCCGCCCCACCCCTGCAGGAGGAACCATTCCAAGTGCCTGGTGCATTGCAAGATGGGTGTCAGCCGATCCGCTTCCACGGTCATAGCCTACGCGATGAAGGAGTTTGGCTGGCCTCTGGAAAAAGCGTACAACTACGTGAAGCAAAAGCGCAGCATTACACGCCCCAACGCGGGCTTTATGAGGCAGCTGTCTGAGTATGAAGGCATCTTGGACGCGAGGTGGGTGACCGCCTGCTGAGAAGGATCGAGGGGACCGAGCGGGCTCCCCCGCTCCGCAGCTAAAACCCTGCTTCTGGGAGCGGGGGGGGGGGGGGGGGGGGGG